CCTGTGGGGGGGTCACGAGCTAGGCAAGATGCTGATCGGACGGAGGCAGAGGAAGGAGTCAGAACCTGGCTTCGGGAGGGGTCTGTTTTGATGGTTTTGTAGACGGGATTTGTTACGGATCAGATGTGAGATCTGAGCTGGAACAGCTGGGGGTGGGAGGAGGGGAGCCAGGGTTTTGTTTCCTGCATGTGCTTCCATAAGCCTTTAGACAGCCAAGCGGAATGTTCAGTGGGATTTAGGGAAGCTGAGCTTAAACTGAGAACCACGGGCATAAGGGTAGCAGCTGAAGCCCTGGGACGAGCGGGGTGGCCGAGGGCGTGGGTGGACGAAGACAGGGAGACACCACAGCACTGAGAGGTTAGGAAGAGGCCGGCAAAGGAGGCAGGAGGAGCAGGCGCCTGAGTGTCACGTGGCTCATCCTTGAATGAAATTCGTCCCAGTCTCCCTGGGGCCATTGTCGGAGCCCGAGGGCACACAGTCCACCGTCTCTTCCGTTCTGAGCGGAAGCACTGCCACTTCTTAGTGGGCGAGCCTGGGTTTACCTTCTAATCTGGCTCCCGGTGGTGCATGGATGGGCATTAGGACATCTGAAAACGCCCATAAATTACTGGCAAAATACCGAGTGTCCTTTTTTGAGTAGTGGGAGCACAGCTTCCGACAGATTCTTAAGTCAAGACGAGGGGCTGTCTCTCAATAGTTCCTAAATAAGGAAGAAACGGAAGGAATAAATTCTTAGGCTTAGCGAGCTCAGGAAGAGAACACATCCTGTCTCTCAGATCCACACTTCCAGAATCTGGCAAAGTAAAAACGGATAGAGCACCCAAGCACCTTGACCATGTACCCCCCTGGGGGGACAGAAGCCAACGCCTGATGCAGAGGGACGCGGACGGCCGACAGGAGAGAACCTTCTTCGCCCCAGCAGCACTGGCTGGGGCGGGGAGCATCACCTCACTGCCCAGGAGCTTGCAGGAAGAAGCGAACCACAGGGTTGGGTAACGGTGTGTGGGTGCACGAAGGTGACAGGATCGTCCCTTACTGGGGGGACCACGCGCTTTCTGCGAAGGCTGCTGCCTTCTGCTTTGCTGTCCTGGGCGGATCTGGAGCCGCAGGGCAGGCCATGGACATTCCTCAGGGTGTGTCAGCAAGGACGCCCGCCTGGCTCCACATTCCCGCTCAGCCGGTTCGCGCTGACCCGTTGGGGACGGTGAAAGGGACGAAGATGGCGCGAGGGACGTTTAGGCTCAGAGTCCACCCCTAGTCGTGCTTTCCGGCGGGAGTGGCCCTGGGTCCGAGTCCACTCGCACTACGCCTTCCCCGCTGTGGGACAGCGTGGACGCCGAGGGCTCCTTCTGTAGTAAAACGTCCTGGTCACCAATAACCCAAGTGCGGGGGCAGCGGCCGCTTTCCAAGTGGCCTCTTCTGCTCAGAACACGGGCGGCCCCACCTCGGTGGGTGTCGGCGCGTCTAGTAACCAGAAAGTCTGATCCGCCTCTGATAAGCTTGTTTTAGAGGAAACGAGGTTGGCTGAGCTGAGGCAGGCCCTGCTTTCGGGGTCTTATAGAGAAAAGGTGCTGCGTGACTTTCTGGGCAGCCCCGCTCCCCCCACCAGGGGACAGGAGCATAGATGGCGGAGCCTGGAAACGTGTCCTGACTGAGTGGCCACTGAGTGACCGCTGACCGGCCTGCAGCACAGCCGGTCTGCGGGCTGTGTGAGTGCCGGCCCCAGATATTTAAGTAGGGGATGTGAATTGTCCCGGTGCGAACGGGGGACTCAGCCATTTCCCATTGAGATGTAGAACGACCCCCTCTTGGACAGCCTTGGTCAGGTTGTATATTTCTAGAAAAGGGGCATTTTCACGGAGGGAACTGTTTAAAAAGGATTAGAGTTTTTCTGACTCTGGTTTAAGTCCCATCAGAGAGTAGACATCTATATTTAGAAAAATGTTTGTAGACTCTTTTCCCAGGTATATTTCTTCTTTAAATAAAACCGCCTTTGAGCTTCCCAGCCTCTGCTGGGAAAGGGCTAGTGACAAACACCTCAAAATAGCCACAGACGTAAGAGATGCAGTGGGGTACCGACGGAGACTTAAAATCACTCGGTTTTAGCTTCTCTAAATCGCAATGCCCCGAGATGCCCACAGCCTACACCAAAGCTTCCCTAGAGATTGCATGTGAGTAAACCCCAGAGGGATTTAAAGATGCATTTGTTTAAGAAATCTTTTAAATATCATGTTCTCCAAGCAGGCAACCATTTCGCAGACTTTTCGAGCTCCGTATCTCCGCCTGATGTTTTGCAGATGCAATTGGCCCATAAATATTATGTGCTGTTCTTCCAGCGTGACGGGGAGGGGCGGGCAGTCCCACCCATGAGGGCGTGGGTGCCCGCGGAGGGGGCTGCCGGCGTGCAGTGGGCTCGTGAGAGCCCGATGTCCTTCTGGCTGGGTCCCGTGTGGTAACCAAGCTCCATGCCTCTGAGTGGCTGGGTCCCGTGTGGTAACCAAGCTCCATGCCTGTGAGGGGGCCGGAGACCACTGCTGGCCCATGGGGACCTCGTCAAGGCACGTCCGGCCTGGGCCCTCCTGTGCATCACGCAATGACTGGGCAGCTCCCCGTCCCTGCGCCAGGCACCTGTGTCCACAGAACCCCCGTTGCTCCCACTCCCCCAGCTGGGCTCCCCGCCGAGCCTGTCACCCTCGTGCATTTGTCCTGCGATGCTTGTATGGAACCTGTAAACTAGACACCCCGGGGCCCATTCGGGGCCGAGGGCTTTGAGGTTTACAGTTTCTGTAACTTGAAAAGATCGCGACTTCACGCCCGGCTCCGCGAGGTTCCCACTGCCGTGCGCCAGGCCTGTGCCCCCCACTGCGGTCGCTGGGCCCTTGCGCTGCCCCCGGGAAGAAGCAGAGAGAGCTACGGGGCGGGAAACCAAGTGTACGTGACTTGTCCTGGGCTCCGAAGCCCCTGAGTAAGAGGCTTGGAGTTCCCACCCACATCCTGTGACCCCTGCGTCTGGGGCTTTCCCTGTCGTTTAGCGTGACTGACTGTGACACCTGGATGACCACTTCGAGGAAACGTAACAGGCAAACGAAAGCTCTGGGCCGCCACCCGGGCACTTCCCGCCTGCCCTCGCTGCACCCTCGGGGTCCCTTAGACAGGAAGTTTCGATGGAAAAGATGCAGCGGGTGAAAGACACGTGACGTCATTTCCTGCTTCTCCGCTGAGTTGATCACACATTATTTGGGAGAAGTGGAAGATTAACCTGGGGGAGGGAAGGCAGGAAAAGCAGAGGCCACGTCTGCTTCTGTGCTAATAAAACGGTGTAATTATCCCTTAATCTCCAGAAAACTTCGTGCTAGCTCTGCAGTTATTTTGATTTTCCGCAAAATTATCTCTTCGTACAAAGAACTGCACGCTGCACAGCGCGGTCTGAAGATTTTCCAAACAGGTATTGCTTGGCCAGCGTAGAAACTGCTCAGACGTTGTTTCTCTTTGAAATACATTTCCACCAGTCTAGGTGCTCCACCGAGGTCCTGTCGCGTGCTCGCGACCTGCCTGTGGGTGGGAGGAACCTCGGTTCACAGCTGGGGAGAGTTGCAGCGGCGTGGCCGAGGCAGCGGGGCCGGCCAGCGACGGAGCCGAGAGAAGGAACAGCGTGTGTCAGGTCCGAACCAGAGTCAGGCTCTCGGCCAAGCGGCCGGTCTCCCCATCACGCCAGGCACTTGTCGTGAGCGAGACCTCGGGCGAGGGGCACTGTTTTCGCGAGTCCTGGCGGAGCCATGCGGGGCGTTCCAGCGGGGATGCGCGAAGGCGCCGGCGAGCCTTGTCCTTCTAACGGTGCCACGGCCTTCGGTGTCCCCGCGAGCCCATCGCCGACGCCCGGACAGCAGCTCCGGGTGCGTGCGGACACCGTCGTTGAGAGGAAAACCTGCCTCGACCTGTCGGCGTTGGCTTCTAGCCGCCTTTTCAAAATATTACCCGGGAAAGCCCATTTGTCCTACCCAGTCGTGCATCTCCATTTATCCTAAAAACTGCTTACGGGAACGAGGGGGGCAGCTGCCTGGATGCGGGATCTCACGCGCTGAGCCCGGCCTCACGGAAGGTGAGTCATGAGCCAGTTTTCGAATTCGGCGTTTGCTGCTGGAAACTCGTGTCTCGAGCAATTAGCGGCAGAGTCTCGAGGCCGATGCTCGGTGCGGTGGAGCGCATTTCATTTCTTCACTTTTTTGGTGTGCAGAGATTGCGTTCTGCTACAGAAGGAGAGACTCTGGGCACTTCTGGGCGGCGACCGCATTTCTCAGGCCTGCAAAGTCAGTGTTCCGGCTTCGCGAAGCTTTTTGGGCTGCGTTTCCAACGCCCCGAGCTCAGGGCCCGGCGAGCCAGCCTCGCCATCGACTCCAGGCCCAGGGCCTCACGCTTGGCTTTCTCTCCCCCAGGCGCCTTTTATGTGTTTTTTCAGTTGAATGAAAAAGTACATGTTCATTGTCTTTTTTTTTTTTTCTTTTTTATCTTTTTTTTTTTTTTGGTCTCAATACAATTCCAAAATATTGCCATCAGCCCTGCAGAGAGCTGCTGTGAGGAGCCATCCAACCGGTGGGAGGAAAGCAGGGTTGCCAAAGGAAAAAACCTGATTTGCTTCAAGGGCTGAACGTCAAGATGAAGTGATTAAAAGGCCCGTAAGCCATGTGCAGAAATGATTAAGAGGCCGGAACACACTATTGGATAAACTCTGTGAGTGGCACGTCATAACGTGGAGGGACGAGCGTTCAAACCAGCCTATTCGAAATGGCGTTTGCCATGTCATACCATGTCATACATGCCTTTCATACCTCACCCTGCCCCGCCCCCACTCTTCCCCCGGTCTCCCTGCCCTTGCCCCCGCCCCGCCCGAAATAACCTGGAAAGCCCCTGCAAGCCCGGATCACGACGGGCTGGAAGCATTCATTCCATTACGGCTGCAGTTCGTAACTGGCTGCACATCCGTGCCGCTGTAACAGGAATACAGACTCCATAGTTTTATCAAATGTCAAGGCACATCGCTCCACACAGCTGCCGAGAGGTGATGCTGAACTGGCGTTTGTCTCCCATGACAAACACCTATTAAGCGGTCAGCATAAACTCTTCCCTTACAGCCTCTGACATCACCCTCAGGGCAGGCAGACACAGAACAGCAATTGCTGAATTGCGTATGAAAATCATAGTTTTATTGTCTATACAACCGAAGGTTTAACTCGGACTCCTATTCTGTCCGAGCCGTATAAAGAAGCAATTCTTCTCTTGGAACAAATAAGCACAGTACACTATTGTAATCTAAGAAACAGGCGCTATTTATGTATTGGAAAGCCTTGCTCTCAATAGGGCTAACAGTCCAATGGCCCAGAAGCCACTATTTTAGCAGCTGTAGGAAAGAAAGCTGTGGAAGTCACAAACAAGAGACGCTCATAGCAGCAGAGGCCGCCGCCGAGAACCCTAAGGGCCGCCCCCTCCAACCCCAGCGGTCCCCACGGCTAGTTCAGCAAGCACGACTCGTAGGTAGGGACCATGTACTTGATGTTGATGAAGGCGTCTTCCCCTCCGTAGCGCTCGAAGGCCTCCAGCGTCTCCTGGATCAGGTCTCCGATGTTCTCCCTCTTCTGCTGGCTGTAGTCGATGCCGTCGCCGGAGTTCACTGGTGCGGGCAAACACACAGAGAGCCCTGTTACTGTTTGGCAGTTTCCCCCCAAAAGTCCCACACGTCAGTCTAGGCACCTTCTCGAACGCTCGTCGGGAGACACAGGCATTCGACGTGTTTACGCGCTCATGCGGAGTTTCCGTCTTAGGACTTCGTGGAAATACACTAAGGAAGTAAGAGGCGATGTGAAAAGGAGGTATCGGGGGCTACGCTGCAGAGCACAAGTCGGGGGGCCTCTTTCTCAGAGGCGACAACTACGTCAAGACTGTTCTCTCGGGCCCGGGGTGGTTCCAAATCCCAACGTGGCTCCTGCAGAAGGAGCCCCCCGGTGTCGGGCCGGGGCGCGGGCCCCGTGTGACTTAAGGGAGTGTGCCTTGGAATGGGGGGCTCGGCCCCCCACGCCTCTTCGTTGCTTTTGTGCATGCGGTGGGCTCCTTGTCCTCCAAGTGTTACTAATCTACAAGGTCAGTTCCCTGCGGTCACCCCCACCCCTCCTGCTGTGGCAGCTCTGACTGGGCCCCGAATGTCCAAATGGCACTCGCGGTTTCACGGGGAGTTTGTGCCACGGCTGGTGTGGGAGCCGCTCTAGGTCCAGGCAGGGTCGGCCCGGGCGGGTGACTGGGGGACTCTCGAAGGGACCCCTGCAGCCACTTCTCAGACTGCGAGGGAGGGAGTTCCTAGGGCGGCCTCCGGGGGCCTCGGGAGCCCGGTGGTCTACCCGGCACAGCTCACACCCGGCCTGTGAGGGGACAGGAGGAATGGCCAGCACACGGGCTCCTGACAGAGGTGGGAGACCTTTGTTTCGACCCAGAGGACAGAACTGCACACTTTTCCCTCTAATAATAGTCGCTACGCATTCATACTGCGCTTCACTCAGGGTCTCAAGGACTGAAACGGCCTCTGTTCCCCAGCGAGTGATCTGTCATTTACCTCTGCTGACACCACCCTGTCTTATCGATGACGAAAGCAGAGGGCCGCAGGGTGGGCTGGGCGGACAAATGGCTGAGGACACGGGGCAAGACACCGACGTGAACACGTGCCCTTTGCCAGATTAAGTATTTATTTTATTCAAATACGGCTTCAGAATGTTTATCTTGCTCGAATGTGGAATAAGAGAGGGAAAAATGGGATGTCAACCCCTTTTCTCCTAGTTTTTCGGGACATTTTGAAAAAGATTGAGTAATAGTTCAGACCAGAATTCAATTTAAAAATTACAACCCCCCACAGCATAGATAAGCAATTCTTTTGCTTAATTTTTCCAGAAATTTCTTAGCAACATCCCTGTCTTCTATGGCATAGAGAAAATGAATTGCTCTCCTGATTAGTTTCTCCGGGTGGGGGTGAGCCAGGCAGAATTATTACTAATTTGCAGAAAGAGAAAGATTATGAGTCACAGGGCTAGAATGCATATCAATGTTTCATGACAAAGGAACTGAAAATGGTTCACAAAGCCTTTGTAATTAGGTGCCTCTCTCTCTCCCTCATGACAGAGCCTTTCCGCTATCTCACGAAAAGCTGGGTTTAAGTTAAAGTTCGATTTACACAGTAGTTGATTATCTAAAATACCCACATGTGATAGCTTTATAGAACAAACCGGAGGTAAGATGTTTGAACGAAAGGCTTCATGCCCTATTATTTTTGAGCAAAAGGTAGACCTTTTGTAAACAAAAAGGTAGGTAAATACACACTTGAAGGAAGCAGGCTTTTTTACCTCCCCTTTTTTGATTTACGCGGTGGTCCAAGGAGAGTCCTTGAACTCAGGACTGACTGCCCACCGCGGAGGACAGCGTGGTATCAGCCCCTCGGGGGAAGCTGCCGATGGGCGGAGGTGCTCGGCTTGAACTGAGAGAGGAGGAAGGTGGACGTGTGTGTGGAAAGTTAAGGGGTGACGGGACAACGTCCAAAAGAGGGCAGGACAACAGCGACCGGGAAGGAAGGGGCAAGAGGGACAGGGACAGAGCGTGTGTGACAAGGGCGACCGACATTAGAGCAGCTCTGGTGGGAGCGACTTCGGCTTCCCAGATTCCAGTCGCAGGGGCGAAGCGGGAGTCCTCGGCTGATCTTCGTGTCCTGGGAAGCCTTGCTCTCCAAGCCACATGACATTCTTGACAAGCTCCTCCTGGTCATCAAAGAGGTGACTTAGGGAGATGGTGGCGTGACCTAGGCGTGCACAGGACAGCCCAGCCCGTGGCCTACACCTCCTGGTGGGCACATGGCAAACACAATGGCTCACGGAGCCGCGTTGTGTCCTTACGGACAGAGATGCGTAAATTCGTCACTAATAAATGGTGCCTTTTGTTGGCATATTAGTCAAAAGGTCAAAGACTGAATAGATCATGGGACAGACATATTTTCCCGATGGAGGCAGAGGGTGTCTGGAAAGTCCGCACACGATGCGGAGCTGAACACACCCCGTTTTTCTACTGCCTTCCAGCATGCCACGACGACAAGCAAGACTTTATTTCGATAAAAACCTATTCTTACTTTTTAAAAAAAGTATTTAACTGTAGGAGTAAGCAAACTATGTAGCTTTTTTGTTCTGCAACAGTGTACAATCCCAAATGACTAAAAGAACAGAACAGAACAGAAGTCGCTTATTCAAAAAGTGAGTTGGAGTTGGAATATTTTGTGGTTGCAGAATATGTACCACTGGAGCAGGAAAAAAAAAAAAAAAAGACCCAAGAAGCAGCACATTCTCTCTTCGCCATGCCGTAGTGATGACAGGGCACGGTCTGCTGTCAAGCCACGTGGAGGGGCAGGCGAGCAGTGCGGTCTCTATTTCAAAACTGAACTTGAGGGGATTAGCTGATGCTCACCATCTTAAATGCATACGACGCCGTTGGAAAATACGCTGTGAGAACGGGATGCTTAAAAAAAATGCTTATTTACAACTGTCAATTCTGATTAGGAAGATGACTTCTCAATTTAGAAGGCTCAGAGTCTATTTTCTGTACAGCAGCTGAAAGGACACATTGATGATGGAAAAGATATGTTTTACTTATAACTCCAAAAAACAGGGTTGTAACAAAGGTTTCGAGCAGACGGCGTCTGTGTTTCTAAAGGGGGAGCCGGCAGAGAAGAAGGGGTTCCACTTGTCTTTGTAGAGGTTCTTGCCTGTAGGAGGCATGCAACTGTTCCCCATCGAGAATTACTGTAAATGCATTTATTGGTCCGAATGTTGAAACTGGTTCTGATTCTGTAGGCAACACGTTTAAGCGTACGCAGACTCTTTTTCTGTCTGACCCCCCCCTTAAATCGTCCTCTTCGTAGATGCCATTTTGGTCAGAACTGGGACGTGTGCATTTCCCAGTCTCAAGTCCTGGTACCTAAACTCGGCTCATGACTGTGACGTGACCACTGTAACACCTGGTCACCGAGGCCCACTGGGAGGGAGGGTACATGAGACACATGCACCTTTCACACGGTGCCACTGTGCAGTGGACACGGGCCAGTGGCAGACACGTGGCACACAGGATTTTGATGACGCATTTTCTGAGCAGTTTTGCAATTTCTAGACTGTGTAGAAGCTTTATGACTATTATTTTTTGAGTTACTACTATTAGAGGAAAAAGGAAAAAAATGAAAAAAAGAACAGTTTTGGTGGCTAGAGCAAGGCCTTCCCACCCCCGTGCCAAGTGGGGCTGGCAGCATCGCTTCTCTGCCCTGAGGGGCGCCTGGGGTTAGGGCGGTGACAGCGGTTACTGTGACGTGATGTCCTCTCTGTGGACTGAGCACCCTGCCATTCACAGCAGGGTCACGCGAAGCAGGGCCGTGACCTTGGGGTTGCCTCTCATCTAGCTGGGAAGCCCTAAGGGTGAACGCGGAGACCCCCGTCCACCCGCGAGGCTCGTCACTCTGAGCTCACGCAGCCCGGGGGAGGAGGCGTCTCCCTCGCTGCCTGGGTGGCCTCTGGGCCCCGCGACCCGAGAGAGCACTTAGCGGTGCCTTGCGGCTGGTCACCCCAGTCCTGTCATCTCAGACATGTGGAGGGCAGTCAAAGAACGTAGGTGTGGCCACGGGGAGGCTCCAGGAGCTCAGTTTGAATCTGGATTTTTCTGACTCTCGCGTTGTCCCGTTAAAGGTACAGGCAGGTATTCTTACACGAACAGTCGCGCACGGAGACGTGATTTGGGAGTGAAGCCGTGGGAAATAGGAACCACATCAACTCTTGCTTCGGGGTGCGCACTCCACACGCCTGAGCAATTAAGTCACTCGGCAGCGACAGACGGAATAATTTACGAAAGCCCCCTCCGCTTGCTGGTCGTGACTAGGAGAGCACATCGGCGTGGTTTTGGGAAAGGCGGTGCTTCCGCTGATGTCGCGAATGTCCCGGCAGGGGCCGCGGCATTGCAGGACCCCGGGGAGGCGGCAGCCGCGGGAGGAGCGCGTGTGTGTCCCCACGTGTCGCCCCGACACTGCTCGCGAGCTAGGTGCCCAGACGCCAAGGAGCACACTCTCCGAAAGGGAGCACTGGGCTGGGAGACTCAGTTACAAACCGCCGGAGTGCGTCAGGACACAGGGAGGACACCCGGACCGCGGTTACCAAACGCGCGCGTTCGAGTTTGGACCGTGTGACCGCCGATGTCTCAAACAGCACTTTAGACAACTGGGGGAATCTGCAAGGACCTCGGACATATAACAGGGTGGTTATCCTGACAGGCCAGCGGTCACCGTCGCCGTGGGCGGCAGCGGCCAGTGAGCTGGGCAGTGCGCCCCAGGCTGGATCGCGGTCATCAAACCGAGGCTTTCAATCGAATGGCTGCTGAGGCATCGCGGCCGGGCTGTGCCCTCCTGGCTCTGTCGCTGCTTCCCTGGCCAATCACATGTGGGACCTGAAGTGCCACCAAGTGTGGCCGCTCTGCACAGGTGGCATCTGAAGGTGAATCCAGGCCAAGAGCAGCCGGAAGCTTTCCTCGGCGGGGGCGTGGCCATCGTGTGAGGTGACCTGCAGAGGGCACGTGGCCACGCCGTCTCCCCGGGGGCGATGGCTGGCGAGC